ATCGAGCAGCGAGAGGGGAGGGCCGGGCTCCCGCCGTGGCGTCCACTCTCGGCACCCACACTCAGGAAGCTCGGTTGCAGTGGCGGGCTGGAGAGGGCCAGACTGGCAGCGAGCGAGCGCCGTCCGGCCAGAGGCCGGCGGTGCACCCTTGGGGGGCACCCGGGTCCCAGAAAGGGCGCACGGAACGCTGAGGCCCAGGAAGTCGGGGCGCGCTCTTGGATGCGCGCGGGGTGTTCCCGGGCAGGGGCCTTGGCGGCGCGGGAGCCTCGGAAGCTGGGGTTTTTTTGTTGTTGATTTTTTGTTTATTGTTTTTTTATTCTCTCATCGGTGAGATCACACCGGCTGAGAGCCCCGAGCCTGTGTGCGAAGGAGAGAGTTGGGATGGGGGGTGGGGGGCTCTCAGAAGAGGGGATTTGGAGATCCCAGAGGCTCCCTGGATAATAGCCGGAGCCGGGGGTCCCTTGGGCCTTGTGAATCAAGTCCCTGACAGAAAATGGGCCTCAAAGACATCTGTTGCGTTCTTGAAGGAATGAATGGGGGCGCTTTAGAATTTATCTTGGGGGAGGGGAAATTACATTACTGAGTGTTTGCAATCTTATGATACAAAAAAATCCGAAATTCGACACCCCCAAAACTAGGAGAGAGCTTTGTTTCCAAAGCTGCGAACTCGCAAAAAGTGGGGCAGAGGGGGAGTACTCGGGAGGTTTCTATATTCAAACTTAGGCTTGGTGGGAAGCAAACCCCAGGATATTGGGGTACCTGGGGATTGTCTCCCCACCAGCAGAATTAGGGGCTTCTACGCACAAACTCCGTAGCGGCTGTCAGGAGTCACTCCAGACCCTCAGGTCGTTTCTCCTGCTGCCCCTCCCCTGCCAGGCCTCTAGCCCGGTGTCTACAGCCTTTGTTTGTTTTTAACAGCAGGAAACCCCCCTGGTGAGAAAGACATTATCCGCTAGCGGGTGGGGAGTTACAAAGCTCTGTGAGGTGTGGCCCAATCCACAAAATCAGCCCAGTAGCTGCAGGGGTCCCTGCCTTAGAGAGAAGGGCCTCCCACAGGCCTGTCAGCTGCTTCGATGGAGGGCTGTGGCCTCCACACTCCCCTCCTAACTCACCCTGCCTCTTGGCCCTGAGAACCCCTGAACCCCAAGTGGGGCTTTCCCTTTTCTGGCTAGACCTCGGGTCACCTGCAGCCCCTGTAGTGTGACGTTTCACTCCCTTCTTCCCAGCCCTCATCAAAAAAAGGAAGGAAGGAAGGAAGAAAAGGAAACAGCACTCAACATGGATTGATGGCTTTCTTCATTCCCGGTAACCCAAATGCTGCCCTCTGCTTTAATCCTCAGAATGGCCCCCAAGGTAGATGTCCCTGTGCCTCCCATTTAAAGGTGAGGCACCCGAGGCACCTGGCCGTTACAATACTTACTCAGGATTCCAGGGGCGGGGGGG